AAAATTAATTAAGTAAAATATTAAATAAATTAAATACATAAAAAATTAAATACAAAATATTAAAAATATAATAAAATATACCTTATACAAAGATTATAAGAGTATTTGAGAGAAGTTGAAGAAATTGAGAGAATTTACTGTGATGAAAGTGATTGAGGATGAGGGTATTTATAGGGAGGGATTGGGGTGTGAAACGTCGGGGTAGGTGGGTAATTATAGCTAAGGCGCGTCGTAGGGGCGCGTGGAGATTCTGGAGTAAGGCACAACCCCTGCACGCTCTATACCTCCTTTACACATGTGTATACCACGTCAGCATAAGGCGCTCTGCAGGGGGCGCCTTTCTGCAAAGGGTGTTAGATCGAGAAATATAGTCTGAACGGTGCCTAATCGGAAAAAAAAGTGGTGGACGGTGATATATCGGGGAAATCGCCGGTCATAAGTGCCCTTTTTATTTATTGTAGGGAAACATGTCTAAATTTTATATTATTTTCTAGTGATTTTAAATTAACCTTAACCAACACAAGATTGAAAGTTTCACCAACTCTTATTTTATATGCAGGAGTTTTGCACTTTTTTATTTGCCAATTCTATTAGTATATTTATAAAGGTGGTTTAATTATTTTGGAAATATAAAATTTTTTATATTAATATTTTCAAATAGGGATATTCGATCCAGATTAATCCAAGACAAAGACTTTGAACTATAGGACAACAAAAAAAACCAAAAAAAAATTACTTTAAGCTCTAAGTTGTATAAAAGACTTTTTACTTTAAGCTCAAACTCGGTCTGATCAAATCTTATAATTCAAAAAATTTGAATTTAAGAAAACATGACACATAAAATTAAACCAGATTAAAACTCATCGGATTTGACATAATATCTATTTATATTCACATGTGACAAGATTCAAAATCTAGACAAAGCACGCACATAATTTACACCTAGTAAATTTGGATTAAGGGTGAGCATTCGATCGAGCCGAGTTGAGTAAGAAATTTTGAGTTATTCGAGTTGACTAGGTGTATTTTACAACTCGAACTTAACTTGAATTTTTTTCTAGTCGAGATATTTGAGTCGAGTTATTCGAGTGTCTATGTTATTTTATTATAGTTATTTATAGTATTATGGTAAGGTTTGGTTTTAATTTTTAACTTTCTCTATCCATATATATATATATATATTATTTCATATTTGTTCACATTATAATTTTATTTAATATATCAAATATAATCTGGAATTATAAAATATATTCACAGTGTTATATTTTAAAGAAAATATTTTGAGGGTAAAATATTGATGAGAGTATAAATGAGTCAAGGAACTGACGGGAAAAAAGAATTTGCAAACAATTGCAATCAAAAGACCAAAAATTGAGTAAAATAAAAATGTTAGAGATAGAGTACACTTTTAGTAAAAAATAAATAAAATTGAAGTTACATATGTAATCTATAGTGGTATATGAGCATGTGGTTCAAATTTAATAAAAAGAGACTTAAAATAAAGGATGAATTGAAGAAATAAGAAAATTATAAAAAATTAAGGAACTAAACTAAAAAAATAGGAAACTTGTCATAAGAAAAGAGAACTAAAAGTACATATGTATTCTACGATAGTTTAAGAGTACATTATTCAAATTTGGTAGAAGATATACTTAAAATGGAGAAATTGAGTTGACTCAAATTTGGTAAATGAAATCATGGACAAAATCAAAAAAATTGTCAAAATACTTAGTCAAATTTTTTACTTTTCGAGTAATTCGAATTTTTAAAATTTAACTCAACTCGAAATTAAAAACTGAATCGATAATTTGAATTGACTCGAGTAACTTGATTCAAATAACTCAAAATTAAAAAATAAAATTTGATTTTTTGAGCCGAGACGAGTTTTGTTCACCCCTACTTGGACTCAAATAGTCAAAGTCAAAATACCTCAGGCTGAATGAATCTATAATTTTTTTTTTGAAAGAACCAAAATTGAATTATAATATTTTCGAAGGGCCAAGGAGAAATTCTACCTTTATATTAATTTAAAATTTCATTATTTTTTAGATAACTTAAAACAGTTTTTATAATTTAGTATGGCATGCCACTTCTCCCCTCTCAATTGTTTTTTTTTTTGGCGAAAAATCTTTTCGCTTCTTATAATAAGGGATATTATTAAATCTCCAAATAAATATCCATGTAAAGCAAGTAAAGATAATTTATAATAATAATCCATGTTGGTGAGGAATTAAATATTTTTTATATTTCGAATTTAATGACAATACTGCAAAATAAGTTTTTATAATCTATTTAATCACACATCACTCTCTGTATGGATTGCATAACTAGGGTGTTCAAATTCGGATACTCGAATTTTTTAGTATCCTAAATTTTGGATACTCGAAATATTCAGGTATCAAAATTTCAGCCCGTGACCCGACCTATAATAATCGGGTACCTGTACGTCAGGTATCTATAAAACTCGAGTACCTGTTAATCCGGATAATAAAGTACCCTATTTTTTTCTTTTCAAGTTAAAATTATGCTATATGTAGAAGCAGTGTTCCTGCCTCCTGATATACACCAAAGACCAAACCAAATTTTGTAAGTAATACAAACGGCAAATTAACCAGTAAATAATATCTAAATACATTAGCAACTAAGAATAGTTTGGCAATTGGCACTTGATAGCAACAATAAAATCTTGTGTTTTCCACTAATACAAGATCCGAGACTGTAAAATTGAATAAAAAAAGGTATAAATTACTCAAAATTTTAAAAAATCACTACTCGTTTGTATCAATTTTTTTTACATTCTATTGCCAAAGCATTTCGTATTCATGCATACCTGTTGGTTATGAGTGATCGCCTGACCGGACGAGATGGAAGAAATAGAACGACAATGTGAGAGAAGCAATTGGTGCGAGCGTGTGAGAAAATTAGGGATTGGAATTTACGATTGGGATTGAGAAATGAGAATTGTGTTTGCGTTTGGGATTTACTGAATAGTGAATACTGAATTATTGATTGACTGCGCGGTTAAAAGTAATATAAAATACAAAAATAAAAAAATCGGGTATCGGATAGTCGACTACCTGATTATGAGAAATTTTTTGATCTCGCCAGGCCCGACCCAAAAATTCATGTATTTTCATTTTTTTTTACATTTTTTTTACATTTTTAAATACCAGTGAATGTAGGGATTAAGTTGAACACAAGGTGGGCTTTAGTGTTCAAATTCTGAAGCCTATTGAGCTTAAGGATCAATGGTGTAATTTCAATATTTTCTGAACATATAAACGAACATGTCAACGGACATATAACATCATTTTGGAATGTTTCTTCAAACGAGCTTTTTTCAATGAGCTTTTTAAATGTAAAAGCATCGTTTTTAACTTCTTGATTTGAGTTAATAATCACTTCTCAAATGTTAATTTTTGATTAAAAATAAGGTGTTCGGGATTGCTTTTGCATTTTAAACATATTTTTTTTGGCCAAAAGCACTTATATAGGCATTTTCAAACTGTCCCGAACATATTCGTGAACATTGAATAAACATATTCTCAAATGCTACACGAATCAAATACAAACATACTAAAAAAACAAACAAACAGAAAAACAATATTAAAAATTTAACCAATCATAAATAATAACCTATTTTTATTTATTCAAACCATATTTATTTACGCCCATATTTATATTTTACAGTACGTGGTAATGAATGTGCACGTGACGGTGACTCAACAACATCTTATTTATTTATTTATTTACTTTTCTAAATCCAACCCATATCGTGGTATTATAAGCCACGTCTTTTTTGGCAGTATTTTCTCTTATTATAAGTACTATTATTTCCTTTTATTTTTTGCCACGTCTTCCTTGTTCAATCTTTCTCAGAGAAATTACACATTTAATATTCAAACTATTAGTTTTAATATGTTTTAGTACTTAAACTTTTGATTTTTCTAAAATTATATCTAACGTTTAGTTTTTGTTTCATTTTAGTACCCCATCGTTAAAAACTTAACGCATTTAATATCTAAACTACTAGTTTTGATCCGTTTTAGTACCAAAACTTTCAACTTTCTTTCAAAACTTAATGTTAAAATTTGTACGATAGCACTAAAATGAAACAAAAATTAAACTTTGGATATTGTTTTGAAAAAATTGAAAGTTGTAGTACTAAAACGAACTAAAATTAATAATTGAGGTACTAAACGCATAATTTACCTTTTTTAAAAAAAATATTATGGAGGAAGCACAGGGGTTGATGGGGTGAACAGGTACAATGAACAAGGAAGAAATGAAGATCCGACAAAGTGATCGTGCAACGACAGCGAAGTTGTCGTTTTAAGGATAGAACTTGGAGCAGAAGATGAGGAATCAAAGGTTGCCTGTTGTTGAGATTTGCTATGGGCGGTTTGTACACAGAATTTCCCGCATGATTGCGCCTCACGTTCTCAGTCTCTGGCATGCATGGCCTCCAACCAACTCCGACTTAATTTATACATATTTTAAGTTAATTCAGACATCATTAAATTATTCAAAATAAATACTATTATGATCAACAATAAAAAACGAAATATGTTGTTTAAATCACAAACTTAACACATTTAGAATGATTATAAAAAATTAACTGACCTTATTATCATATGTAATAGAGTAAGAGGAGGTAGGATAGTAGGCTGACCCCAATGCCAGGTTGAGAACATCTTTCGTAGGAAACCTCCGATAGTCAGAATATTAATACTATGGTTTAAAATATAAAATAGAAAATAGACATGACATAATTACAACGCTGATATATTTAATGTTGAAAGAACGCTGAATAAAATTTAATATCACATTGTGACATGGCTAGATTTATTTGCTCTACACACTTCAGCTAAATGCAATAAAATTTAGGCAAATAGGTAAGCACTTCATATTGACATTAGTAAATGAGAAATTCAAACATTCAGAAGCATTAACGAGCACAATTAGAATAATATAAAGAATTCTCTGTACAGCATATAATGATGTTCTTCTAGCCACAGAACCTGCAATTGTTTCTTGTATTATAATAAATAAACAAATACCAAATCATAATCTCTCTTCCCATCGACCAAACATACAGTACAAGTACCAAATCTAAACCACCGAAATCATATTTTCGGATAACAGCTTCCACTCCAATGTGTTTACATAGTCCAACTCTAAGCTTTTGTTCCTGCAGCATTCTTCTTCTCATCTTCAACATCCTGCAAGTTGCCATGGAACATTAATCACATGTTACAACCGGTTCAAAAGACGAAGAATCTTAGAACAGGCATTGTTGAGGCGAAACTTAAAATGTCACAAGACGTAGATCAAACGATGCATAGGGCAGCACTATGAATAGTTTGGGCACCTTAATAAGAGGAAGTAAAAAATTATTCAAGCTTACAGAATTTTCAATCTTGTCAAAATCATCATCCAGGCTCCCGTCAGCATCAACATCACCATCTGCGTCATCTGAAAGGCATGCGAATAAATTAGAGACTTATAGTATAAGATGATAAATGAAAACGTCGACAAATAAAACATAAAAACATAACATTTGAGTCCCATTCATTTCTACATTGTTTTCTATGAACAAATCAGCAACCAATAGAAAGAATTCCAATGAACATACCACCACCCCCATCACTATCAAAATCTCCTAACAAAAACGTATCCAAATCCTGCTCGGCAGATGCGCTTGATGTTTTAGTTTTTAAACTACTTTCCGGTTCTGCCTTCACAACAGGATTTTCCTTGGGTTTGTCCTCTTTAGCCCCCTCCACTTCTCTCTGTATAACTTCCTCCATGTACTGCCTCTCATAACTGATAAATGTAAACAGGTTACAGCAAAATTAGAATTGGATCCCTAACCCTAAATTATCATCATCATCACAACAACAATAATAATTTAAAACTTACTGTGCAACATGAGTGCTAACAAGAGTGAAATATATCCTCCAAAATTTCCTTTCTTTCATCAAACGAGGACACAATTCATATCTTAATTTCTTGATCTCCTGCATAAGAACAATACTTTCGCATGAATAAGCATTAGAAGTATAAAATCTGGCATGACTACAGCAAATTCCTAGTAAACTTGTGTCTAATTTGTCATTTCCTTTGCAATTGAAAATGAAAATGATAAAAAGAGTTGACCTAAAGAAAAGTTCATCTCAATGCCAAATTCAGCAATTAGGATCCTCAAACGCAGCCTTATAGTGACAAATTCTACAATGAAAATTTACCATTCTCTTTTTTTTTTTTACCTTCACAGTAGTAAGAACAAGTGTCGCATGCCTCTCTTGCCATTCACTCAGATCCTTACGTACATTGGACCCCTTAGTAGTCACATCGGACGGCTCTGGTTCATCTACAAGGAAATCCAAAACATCCAGACTTTGTTAACATACATTCAGACAATTTTACCTTTTAAGAAAAAAATGAAATGAAATTAAACGAAAATTTTACCTTGGACAGGGGAAGGGAAGTTCTGGAAAGTACTTGGAGTAAAGCCTTTGACAAAGTCTCTCAAATCATCGGTGATTCCGAACTTCCGGAGCTCCGAATCGGATATTGGATGAGGATCTGAAGAAGTGGAAGCGGGAGAGGTAATGGAGAGGGAGGATAGTTGAGGAGGGATAAAATCGGAAATGGACTTGGAAATGCCTTGGATTTGGATTTGATCGGCTTGCTTGAGAGCGGCGGTTTTGAGCTCATCGGCTTTCTTGGTGGCTTCCGCAGCAAGTTCCTTCGACTTCTTGGCGGTTTCGGCTACAAGAACGGCGATTTTGCTCGGTGCTGTTAGGGACTGTGATTTCTTAGCCGCTTCTTCCGCGAAGGATTTCGCTCGCTTCCAAAAATCTTCCATTCTTGTGATCTGATATCCTTTCTCTGGCGTATGAAGTACTTTGGTTTTCTTGCTTTTACATCTTGTAGAATCGTTATGCAACGGCGTCGTTTTACCTCAGCCCGCAAATTTGTAGATCCCGATCACGGTCCTATTTTTTAAGGGTAAAGTATACAAATGGTCCCTTAGTTATAAGAAATTATTTTATTGAATCCCTTGATTATCAAAAGTTAATGATCCTTGGACTATAAGATATTTTTGTTTAGTTCTTTGACTATTAAAAATTATAAAATAGTCGTTCGATTATTAATATGTTTTAAACTCATCATTTTTCAAAAAATTAGCAGTCGTCTAAGTTAGAGATTAACATACTCATTGAAATATGATAAAATTTGATCTTATAACTATTTTAGTTATATTTTATGAAACGAGTCTCTATTTACGTTATGTTGTTAAGACGGTGCTTGAAATTTATGATTTTGAGCCAGTTCTTGAAAGTAATAACAATGCTCGTAGATATCATTAAAATATATATTTTATCATATCTCACTCAAATATGTTAATGTCAAACTCAGACGATCTTTAATTTTTCAACGAAAAATGACGAGTTTAGAACATATAAATAGTAAAATATTCATTTTGTAACTTTTAATAGTCGGTGAACTCGACAAAGCAACATTATATAATTGAAAAATAATTTTATAACTTTTAATAATGGAGAGACTCAACAAAATAATACTCTATGATCATGGGTATTTACTTTACCTTTTTTAAAATATCAAAAAATTAAAAATATTTCAATATGGTATAGTATATTGATACAGTTGTGCCTCATGTTAATAAAAAATGAGTATTGTATTCCCTTGAAGTCTTATATTCAAATAGTTATGTCTGCCAGATATGTTTATGTTGTCAACAATTTAAAATTTTATGAATAAGTAATATATTATAATCATTCTAAACTATTAAAAAAATCAATTTATTCCTTACAATTTCAACTGTAGTGCAAGTTATCCAATCTATTTTTCAATTAAAAAATTATATAACATTCTGAAACAACATCATCTAAGATATAAGTACTTTATGTACCATTATAACAATAAAATAAATTTATAGGAACTAAAATAGCATCTAATCCTGATTTTGTAAGCAATACACTGTGGTCAAACTTATATTAATTACTAACGGGATTAGTTCAAGTAGTAAGAACCTTCATATCGTTAAGTAAGGTCTTAGTTTCGAGTCCTTGTGCATGTAGAAAATCCTCGCTAGGAGATTCACCAACCAAAATCAGGTATACGACTCATGTCAATTCAAATTAGTCAAGGTGAAGTCTTAGAACAGGAGGACAACTAAAAATAACTTATATTAATCTATATATTTTTTTGAATTTTATAATTTCGACCTTTACTCCAATTTAAACTCTTAAATTTAAAAAGGCGGCTAATGGGCCTAGGTCTACTCAATAGTAATTAAGCATTGAAAACCCTCCTTAACCATAAATTCACCTTCCTTTTAAGTTGGTACCATATATTATTAGTATTTTAATTTAATTTAATGAGTTAAATGTAAAATTAAAATTTAAAATGTATGTGTATGCTTATAAGATGATGGTTTTGAATATATAAAAAAAACGGTTGTCCCTTATTCCCATATGTAATGGGGTAAGGGGAGGTAAGATAGTAGGCTGCTCCCAACACCAGGTTGAGAGTAACTTCCGTAGAAGACCTCCGAATTATGAAATGTCCTCCGTGGGACTTAATCCCACGACCTCAAGGTCAAGAACCTTGTGCTTTACCAACTGAGCTGGATGGTTTTGAATCTTATCATTAAATCTAAAATCGCTCTCCTCTGTTTTCATTCGATTTTGAGGGTTTGATTTTGTGTAATTGTGGTAGGTCATCGATTTTTTAATTTCTGCTAGGTGTTAAAACCGTTAATTCGGTTATTGCCCGAACTAAATTAGTCATTTTTTCCTTTAAATGTTAATCGAATCGAATTTTTATAATTTTGTAATTAGATTATAAAAGAGATTTTTTAATTTGAGTTAAAATTTAATTAGGTATTTTTAATTTAATGAATTTAGTATGATTAAAAAAAATTGAGTCTTATTTCTTAATGAGTTTGAGCTTAAATTATGGATTTAATATATTTAATATTTAATAATTTTTGGTTAATTCGGTTAATTAATCGATTTCGAACCGAACTAATGGTTAACCGAATATTTAAAAATTAACCATTCCTCGATTGAACTTATTTGGTGGCCAATCAAATTAACTAAATTGATTCGGTTCAGTTGGTTAATTCAATTAAAATTGAATAGTGAACACCCCTAACTTCTACACGGACAGCAAAGGGAGAACCATCATGCATATAAAAGTTAGGGTAAATTATGCATTCAGTACTTAAGCTATTAATTTTGGTCCGTTTTAGTACTTAAACTTTTATTTTTTTCAAAACCATGCATTTAGTTTTTGTTTCATTTTAGTACATCACCATTAAAAACTTAATGCATTTAGTACCTGAACTATCAATTTTAGTTTGTTTTAGTACCTAAACTTTCATTTTCCCCAAAATTTAACGTTAAATTTTGAACGGGATACTAAAATGAAATAAAAACTAAACTCGTGTATAGTTTTAAAAATTGAAAGTTTAAGTACTAAAACGAACTAAACTTGATACTTTAGATATTAATTGTATAATTTACCCTAAAAGTTACTGTTGCATATTCTTTTGGTGTGGAATCAATGTTGCTTTGATCTTGGACAGTGTTACTTGTACTATATAGGGTTAATTATAAGGATCTGTAGTTTAATTTAAGGTTAAACAATGACATAGAATATGTATAATTAAAAATGTTATAAAACATAATAATTTTAGTTGGATATAATATAAAATTTTAAAAAAAATATTTTAGGATTTTAAAATTTTTAAATTAAAACTTCAACAATTATAAAATATTTAAACGTTTATTATGATTAAATTTGAGGTGATAATTAAATTTGGGGATGATAACAATAGGGATGAAAATTTCACCCACATTCGTTGGGTTTTGAACCGATCCAATTTAATAGGGTCGGATTTAGAAAAATAGTTCAGGTCAGGTCGTATTTTTTAAGGGGTGAAATTGAGTCGGGTCGATTTCGAGTGGATGGTGAAAAAACTATGACCCAATGATAATAATATAATTTTCTTAAAAACTTTATTATTATTTTAATTAAATCCTTAATTTATACTTGGTCAGATTCCAGTGGAAGGTGAAAAAACTCTGACCCAATGATCAAAATCGAGTGGATGATATATATTTTCGAATCAAAACAAATGTATAATATAAAATTTTTGAATCGATTCAGTTTAGATTCAATTCAAATGGATAATATATATTTTTGGAGTAGCTCAGATTAACAGGAAAAAAAAATCAGACCCTAAGGGTGCGTTTGGTTCACGGAATGTAAGATTACCAGTGGGAATGTAAGATTACCAGGAAATAGGATTACTGAGAATGTTGTATTTTGTGTTTGGTTGACTTAACAGGAATGTAAGATTACCGTGTTTGGTTAAAAGAATAAAGGATTATTGAAATGTATATTTGACCAAATTGTCCTTATTGTATATTTATTTTTTTAACAAGTTGTAAAATATTTATATATTTTATTTAAAAAATTTAAATTCATAAAATTTATATATTTTTTTTACAAAATTGAAAATATAAAAAAAGTTTAATGAAAGGGTAAAAATTTATTTTAATCACTGAATTTCATATAAAATTTTAATTATATTTTTTTATAAATCTAAATAGTTTAAGGATAAATTCGTAATTTAACATTCGTAAAATTTTTATATTCAATGACAGAAGAATGATTTTTTTGAAATAAATTTTTTTAAGGGCATTTTAATCCAAAACGCCGATAATCCAACAATACCTAAAGTAAGGGAGGTAATGGCATTTTCGGTAATATACTCAAAAAATCCACTATTGGTAATATAAGATTATCGGGAATGACATTCCCGGCCAACCAAACGAGGAAATGTGAATTTCATTCCCATAAGAATCTCACATTCCCCCAACCAAACACACGTTAACATGTTGCCATCCTAGATAATACGAAGGGATAGTTTTACTGTTTCGAGTATGTTAGGCTTCTGCGCGTCTAATCTAATCAAGTCTTAAAGGAAGATTATTGAGCAGTACTGAAGTAATAAATGCACCACGTCTCAAGAGCCTCTGAACAATTAATTAAGCTCGGTTATCAAGGTCCCAAACTGCACTATTTAAGCAACTCTAATTCTATCCCTTTAAAGAGCATCGAAAATGTGTGGCACCGAGAGCAAGAGCCGAAGGCGCGGCAATGGCGATGGCGAAGGAGACGATAATGGAGATCAACTGCGTTGTTCTGTTCTCGACTGTGAGTTAACTCGGCAGAGGTAGCGGTCGGAGCAGCTCTTGCTGTGGGCCTTGTGTTTGCGGTGTAATGCTCCTGGGATCGAGCAGCCATAAGAAAACAATGAAGGCGCCGGAAGGAGCTATCGTTTTTTCCGAGATGACTTCGAACATGATCCGGCAAGCTATTTCCGTGATTTGCGCAAAAGTGGATGAACAGAAGTATGGGATTACCGAGTAGAATGCTATGATGTCTCTTTTGTGATGTGATTTCTCCAATTTTTCTAAATGTAAATGGAAAGTAAGCGGATTAATAAAAAGTACTTCATAGATTGCATGTTCATTGTTTTTATATTAGCAACGCTGCGATCAAAGTTATTAAACAAAAATTCATTAGGTCTCCTAAAACTTTTAATAATTTTAATTGGACTCCAAGAATCCAAAGAAAGCACAAATACTCTCAACCATTTCAAACCTTTTCTCCTCACTTTACAATTAATACTGATCATAAAACTTGTGATCCTACGACATAACTCAATATCAGAGGCATTTGAGGTTTCTAGTTTCAACCATAATATAATGTAGAAAATAAGTCATTCAATGGCCGGAATGGTTGAGTATCACCCAAAAGATCAAAGCCTAGTCGTGGGAGAAGAAACGGAGGATGTGTATCAGCCATTTTGTAGCAATTGAATACGGCGATAC